GAAAACGAGTCACAGAGGTGTGAGCTGGAGCTGATCGTTGAACGATCGGAGTATCGGCATCTGAATCCTGACTAACCGAACGATTCCTGAGCTGCTTGGTCCCTTTCTTCGCCATTGATACGATGATCGACGATGAGAAAGATGGACACGACAAGCCGAAGTGAAATCTTCAAGAGAATCCAGAAAAATTTTCCCGGAAAATTTCGTTTTCCCAGAAAAGTTGTGCTTGTAACAAACTTTTGAATGAGAGAGAAATTTAATGCTCTGATATCTTATTAGAGTTTACTCAAAAGAATAACTTTCTCATTAATCTGAATGTTAGGCTATACAATTGCTTATATACTACAGCTAAAGATCTTATACAAAATATCTTAACGTTTCTATTATTAGCTCTGTTTAACAACTAACAATGTTATTGAACTCTGTTAATAAACAGCTCATTTTCTTGTTACTTCAGGTACTGCATATAGTGTGATAAGAACTCGTAATTTCTCTTAATAAGTTCAGGTCTCTTGAATTGATTCAACTATTCAAGTGGAAGTTTGGGGACCTACTTCGAGAAACAAGGACTAGAGTCGTCAAAAACGACCTTGTTATGACGTGACAGGACAGACGCCAAGTTGTCTGGTCTCTTCTCTCTCTGGATAAGTCTTATTTCCACGCAACTTTATTGAACAAAAACAGAGGAAACTTTTAACAAATAGAATAAAAAAGAAGCGAATTTTCTTTCAAACTGAAGTTTTGAGTTTTGACTAATCAAATTGTACTTTCCTTTGTTCATACAGCATAAATCTTTAGCCATTAACCGCATTTATATTGTATAATCATATGCAGACAAAAAAATCAATTCATATTTGATTTTCTTAGATGCAACTTGCGTAACATTTCTTTATTTTATGGGCCATGGTATCATAATCAAAAGATTAAACTAAAATAAATAATTTGTTTAGTTGGCAAATGTTTCATAACTTTTTCTATACAATTTTTTCTTATTAGTATGTGCGCATTACACTTCAGTACGTAACGAATCCACTTTCAAAGCCATCACCAAAGCCACCTTCTTCTCCATGATCCGGTCCGTTAACGTAGATTCTTCCTTCTTCTATTTTCTTTCTTTGTAATGTTGTCTCTTAAATAGATTACTTGAGGGAACAATATGTAAAATTACTTGTGTGTTTAGATTTTAGAAATGAGAGTGTATTTATAGTGTTTTGATAGGTTAATAGGATTTTGGGTTAGAAAATATACAAAATCTTGATAAGAGTGGATTAATTTTTTGATTTTCACTTTTTTTGAAATTTGAAAGGAAAAGAGCACAAAAAGCCTTGCGAAAGTGATAAAGAAAATAATATATTGTATTGCTTAGTCGTAATGAGTAATGAAACCTGTTCTCCCCAAACACATGCGTTTGAGGTTGTTTTTATAGAGAAAACATGATTAATGCGATCATTTACTGCTCATAATCGCGTTGATACGCATTAATCATGTAAGTTACAATTTGACCGAAACGGCTTAATTCGAACTATCTTGGGCTTCGCGTGGACCTTCCGAACTCTTTCTTGTTGACTCCGAACTCCTGCGTCTTGACGCTACCGCGAGCCCCGAACAATATTCTCCTTGCTTCGGCCTTTCTCTATGCGAACTGTATGTTGAATAAGAGCGAACTCCGTACTGGTAAAGATCGAACTCTTTTAGTAGACTGAATCGAACTCCCGACTGGTTAAGTGCGATTCTTATAATAAAATATCTTTAATTCCAAGAGGATTATTATGTAATGATGACGTGGACAGATCCAAGTGGATCCTACCGAAAATGTGTGGGATCCGACCCCAACACTTTTCACTACAATTTTTCTCGTTATATTGACTCACATAGAATATACTCAATTGTGAATTAGTTCTCAAGATAGATTGTATATCTTTTCTCCTTCCTATCTTTGAATACTCAATTCTATTTTAAACGTTGCATGATCTTTTTACTAAAGTAACCATCATAAAATATTTTGTCATAAGATTTTTTTAGCCATGTTTTGGTGCATGTAAAATTGTTTTATAAAAAACATATTACATATATAAACTCATTCTTATATATTCACAAACATCGGATTTTAATATCAAAATTTTTCACTTTATCTTGACTGTTTGAAAAATACAAAATTCTCTTTTCTAAAATATGTAAATTAAGAAATCATAAAAATTATTCTAGTTTTGAAATACGTTTATTTTTTATAAAAAAATCATTGTTATTTCTAATTTCTAAAAAGCATTCTCAAATATTATTATTAGAAAGTTTTATTATTCGAGTAGATTATTTTATTTATATTTGTGATGTTTAGGATAGTTTTTTGTTTTGTTTCAAATCAGCTTCATTTTTTTCAATCTATGTTAATTTTCTTAACACTGATTAATAATTAGTTTTTCTTTCTTAGGTATTCATTTTTTCATATAAAAAATGTTCACTTTTTAATTGAGAAAACATTAATAATATATACAAATTTATTAATTTAACTATTTATATTATATTATGATTATAAATGATAATATGTATTCATTCCTTCTTATTTTTTAATTGGTATCATGAATTAATACTTTAAACTTAACAAATATATTCTCAAATTCTAAATGTGTATTTTTTTTAAATGAAGTACTTTTTTTAGTTAAGACCTTTAAATTTGGTATTTTTTTAACTCTTATTTTTTTATTCAACTAAATAATTATAACTCTTAAAAGTGATTGTTTTATAGTCCTGGACGTTTGTTATCCAATCGGTTTCGGTTCGGTTCCATTCGGTTCTGGTTATTTTTGTTCTAGAGTTTAGTATCTATTCAGGTATTTTGAAATTTTGGTTCGGTTCCGGTTCTTTCAGTTTTAAAATTTACTATCCATTCGGGTATTTTGCTTCATATATTTTTGGATATTTCAGTTATTTTTGAATATTTTGGATACTTTTCGGTTATTTTCTAGTATTTTTATATAGTTTTGAGGTATTTTTGATTATTCAGTCTATAAAAAACTAATATTTTTAGGTATATAATTATATTTCGGGTACCCGAAATATTTCGGATCAGTACCGATTCGGTTCCGGTTCTTACGGTTATAGAATTTAGTATCCATTCGGATGTTTTCAAATTTTCGGTTCGGTTTGGTTCTTTATGCTCCGTTTCCGGTTCGTTACATTCGGTTCGGTTAATTTGCCCAAGCCTTGTTAAATTAAAATATATCATAAGTTTCTTTTTCCTAACTCTAACCATTTAAAAATATTTACTCATTATATGTTAAGATATGATTTTCTAACTTTATATTTATCTAATCTCAATTCAAAAGTTTTATATTTTGTGTTGTATATTTATTTTTTCGTTTTTTCATATTTAATTTATTTTTTGTAAATTATTGATTTTTAATGAAAAGTAATAATTTAAAATGAGTGAATTAATTTAGTTTTTGTTTTTGTTTTAATAAATAACATATATGGAGCCTATAAAAATAATAAAATGTGATGACATTGATGCTGACGTGGACACCTTAGAAGGAGAGACATCTCTCCCATTATATATAGACTAGATTTTGTGCCCGCGCGTTGCGCGGGATTTTAATTTAAAATCTCTTTTATTAATAAAATTTTTTGATCATAAGATATAATCATTTAAATTTAAAAGATAAATATTTGAGCATAAATATAACAATTCAAATTTTAACATCATTTAATATAAAATGTGAATATACCTAGTTTCATGAACATTATTTAGTGTAAATGTACATCTAAAAAATCATGTTGCTATAATATTAGCAAGCATGTTTTATCTATTGAAGCAAGTGCATTGTGCCATAAGAGAATTTTCGACGAAGTCATCAATGTGCATATTTTATATAACTTTTCATCATTAAACCACCAAATGGTTAAACCCAACTTTGAATCTAATAATCTGTTTAATAATATATGTCATGTATTTTTCCAAAAACTCATTCGTTTCACACAATGAATGAGATCTCAAAGAATTTAACCTTAGTCATGTGCAGTATCTTTCTAAGTTTTAGAATTTATTTTTAAACACTTTCAACTACCAATTCTTTCGTCATCTTCTATGATGCACTCGTTGACTTTCGACATCTACTTTCTTTTTACCTTCTATTGACTCACATATTATATATATTGGACTATGAATTGATTTGCAAGACATATTATTAATTATTTTCTCCTTAATTATAGTCTTTCAATACTAAATTTTTTGGGTCAAAAGCATTTGATGAAATATCAATCTCGTTTTGCTTTTTGATCATGTTTTAAGTTCCATTTGAGAATATGCTATACAAATTACATATCACTTTTCTAACGGCTTTCATTTTCATTTTCTGTATATTTTGTGTAGAACTCATGAATAATATGATCATTGATTATTTATTTTTTAAAGATGGATGATAATGTTTCAAAGTTTTCAAAATTTTTTTATATAATTTCACAAGATAAAGTGTGACTTTTACAATACCTTCGTCTTAAATTATAAATTTAAGTTGAGTTTAGTAATTTTTATTTTTCTTAAGTATAAATTTAATAATAAATACAAATATGTAGTATATTGTTCTTAGAAACTAATGTTTCACTTTAAATTTTATTTTTTTGTTTAAAATTTTATATACAGAATTACATAAATTAATTTTTATTCTAGCATGTATTTAAAATTTACTTCCATTCTAAAACTCATCAAAATATTTAAAGATTTGAAGTATGATCATTTTTAATTTTTATCTATTAAAAGTGGAAGTATATTATTACTAATAATAATAATAATAATATTTTTATAGTTTTTTTTTTATTATTTTAAAATTTTTATTTATTTAAAATTTCTATTAATTATAAGTAACATACATATGCCCTAAATAAATGTTTAAAGTGTATTTTAATGTAAAATAAATAATGTTGCTTAGGTGGATGCTTAGGTGGATAGGCTAGATGAAACTCTCCTATTATATATATAGATTTCGTCCAAAACCCTAGCCGTCGTTCAAATAATTCATTTTCAATTTTTCTCTGGGGTTAGTCCTCGTTTTGCCTAAACAGTAATAATGTCTCTGATCTGCCGCCTCAATCTTTGTCGGCGTTTCTCCACCGCCCTGCCAAGAAGAGCGGAGGACATAATGTCAAACCCAGATTGTCGTCCCGCGCAGCTATGCTTGAGAGTCTCGTACTTGATCAGATTCGTTGGAGATCTCGACACGGCGGCGAAGTACGCTCGTTTGGCTGTTTTCACCGACATCAAATCGGAGGCCACAGCAGCAACATGTCAAGCCATCATCGGAGGCATGTTGCAGAATAAAAGGCACGATGACGCTTACGATCTCTACGATTTCTTCTTCAATCACTTTAAGCTCAGACCCAACAGCCATTGCTGTAACTACATCATCGAATCTCGTTTCAAACAAGGTTTAGTTGACGAAGCTCTCGGTTTCCACCACCGATCCATCGAATCTGGTATGGTCCACGACTACCCAAGCAACGATACTTTCAGGGTCTTGACTAAAGGGTTAGTCCACTCCGGTCGATTAGACCAAGCCGAAGCCATGCTTAGAGACAGGACAGTCGATAGGATCATCTACCCAGATCACGTGGCGTACAACTATCTGATTCGCGGGTTTTTGGATCTTGGGAATTTAGGCAAGGCGAATCTAGTCCTGGACGAATTCAAACGCTTGTTTCTTATTACCCTCTCTGAGACCAAAGATGATTTGCACCATTCAAACTATGAAAACAGAGTGGCATTCGTGATGGCCACATTCATGGAGTACTGGTTTAAGCAAGGTAAAGAGGTGGAAGCTATGGAGTGTTACAACCGTTCTGTTCTATCAAACAGGTTACTGGTTTGTGCCGAAACGGCTAACGCCCTTTTGGTAGTCCTGCTCAAATACGGTGAGAAAAAACATGCTTGGGCATTGTACCATGATATCTTAGATAAAAGTAGAACTTACCCTGATACCATTAAGATAATGGTGGACGAGTGTTTTGATATGGGTCGATTTAGGGAGGCTATGAAGACCTACAACAAGGCGAGAGCCAAGAACCATTACCTCAGTGACATATACATTTTTACAAAGTGTTGCCAACACGGATCACAGTCTTTCTTCTTTGTTGTATTTAGTGGTGGATACATTATTACAAGGTGTTGTCAAAACGGGATGTTGTCAGAAGCAGAGTCTATCTTTGCTGATTCACTTGCTGATGATTTCGCATACATTGATGTTGACACTTCTAAAACAATGATGGATTCTTATGTGAAGGCTGGGAGAATCCATGATGCTATAAAAACCTCCAACAAGATGATCGATGCAACTCTACAGGAGGTCTCCCATCTCTTTTGACCATTCTTCGTCACTTGATGATCTTTATTTGATGTATTCTTTTTTATAATACTTGTTTTTTTTATAGTAGGAATATTAGGGTTTGAATGGTATGCAATGCAAAATTTGAAATCGTGATTCCACCAAATAGATAATATGCACAAATGCTTGTGCTGAATATAAAACATGATAAAAATTATATTGGTTTTCAATTATAACAAAATAGAAAAACTTCATTTATCTACTGTTATCGTCTTATTGATTCGGCTATTAATTTAACATGCTAGTCTAGTTTACTGTTCATAGTCACTGGTCCTAGAACAGGGGCTCAAATCCTAGAAAAGAGTTGCGAATTGGTATCCTCGGCTTTGGAAAAACAACAAGACCAAATCGGCTTAGAAAGAATTTATGACAAAAGAGTCAAATGACTCCGGATTGTGACAGGTCCTAGGACAAAATGACCAAAACGACGTTGTTTGGTTTAAGACAAAATGATCCTATTCCCCGTCGATGCCGTATCGTTTAAGTGAGAAAAACAAATTGTTGAATTATGTTTAAATCAGTGTAATTTTACGATTGAGTTATAAAAACGCACCAATGTGGCTTGTTCATGTTGAAATATATCATTTCCCCTCATAAATAGTGTATTGGTTCACAACATTACAAGCAAAGAAAACATTTACCTAACAAGACTCTGAAAGGATTAAAAAAAATGCACAAATGCAACTTATGGTTCCCGATGAATAGCAAGCTTTCTGATATTTAAAACTCGCATCTTGTTCAAGGTCATGATAGCATCATCGACTCTCCCAACCTTAACATAACCATTGATCATTGCTCTGAATGTTAAGACGTCAGGCCCCACGAACAAGTCCTCTCCGTCAACGTCGGTAAACATCTCGGCGAAGAGTTTCTCTGCGTCTGACACTTTTCCATGCTCGCAGAGACTCACGATCATATTCCTATAACACGTTTTCCTAAGCCGCTCGAATGGCACAGTCTTTTCACTAAAATAGTCGGACATTATGTCAATCGTCTCGGAATCACAGATTTCTATCATCTCTTCAAACAATTCCCAGGCCTCTGTATCCTTACCGTGCTCCACAAGAACTTGCAAAACCCTGTTTCCGACAATGGGTTTCAACACTTGAGCCTCTTCCAGAGTTGCGAGAATCTCCATAGCTTCCTCATCTTTGCCTTGATTGAAAAAATAGTTCATAAACGAAACATTAAAGATTGCAATTGCCTTGTGATATTCTCTACATGGAAGTTTACTATCCAATTCCTTGAAGATTTGGCTAGCCTTTACGAAATCCCCTACATACAAGAACCCTCGAATCAGAATGTCGTAGACCATGAAACTACAAGAGCTCATGGATCCCACTAAATCACAAGCTTCATCGAATCGTTTAGAATCAACCAAGGCTTTCGTGAGTATCATGTATGTCTCCATCCCCGGAGCTAAACGTCCGTCGAGCAAAATGTGGCGGTAGAGCTGAAGAGCATCGTCGACGTGACGTTGGTCGCAGTGTGCTTTGATGATGAGATTGCAGGAGAGCGTGTTTGGCAGAGCTTGAGACTCGTTGAAAAAGTAATTGAACAGACAGATGGCATCGTCGTACCGTTTTGCGCTGCACATGGCGCCAATTATGGAATTGCAGATGAATACGGTGTCTCTGTCTACTCGAAATTTGTCCAGGACAGCGAGGCGCGAGAGATCCGAGGCTTTGTCGAGCATTGACATCTCGATCATTGCCGTGACTCTGTAGCCCAGAGAAATTGGGCGGTCATCGATATTCCTGATCGAGACCCACTCAAGCTTGGGGAGTGAGGAAGGGTCTCTTCCGAGTGGGTAAGGCATGAACGCCTTCGCAACCGGAACAGCCTTTGATACGGTCGAATTTCGGACAATGCGGCGTAGGAAGGACATGACTGATGATGGAGTTAGGGTTCTGTTTTTTGCAGGTGATTTTTTATATGGGCAATTTTTAGGAAATAGCCCAAAGTTACGCATTTTCAAATCGGACCATTTCCATATCTTTGTTTATAGAAAAGCCCACGAAAATAAGGATTATTGTTGATTTGGGCACTCTATGCAATCACAAATTAGCAAAAATAACACACTTTTATTTATAAATCATCCACCTTCAGACCAAATTAAGTTCTTGATTCACACATATATTTATGTATCTATAGAGATGATGATGTTCTTCCTTCTTACCAACCGATTATTGTTGCAGGTTAAACGATCAAGAGTATATGGAGCTTGTGTTTGAGAATGGCCAGATTCTTGCAAAGGGCCAAAGATCCAACGTTCCTCTGCAGAATCAACGTACCAAATCGATCATGGATTTGTATGAGGCCGAGTATATAACGAGGACTTCATGAAGAGTATCATCCATGGTGGTGGTGGTGGTGCCAACAAGAATCTCGGAGACACGCAGGTTGTTCCACAAAGTCATGTTGTTCCTCCTCATGAAACAGAAATGTTGGAAAGCAATAGACATGTTGACGATTCAACTTTGATTGAGACTTTGAAAGCTTCTTCATCAAAGAGGATGATGGTTGATTATGATAACCGAATGAAGATCAAGTTTATACCTCCTGATGAGCAATCTGTGGTTGCTGAAAGGATGGTTGAATCGGGCTTTAACACTTCCTCCGCAGGTTTTACTGAAGACAGTGAAGGATCGATGTATCTGAGCAGCGTAAGAGAATTGATTCACGGATTTTATTGGTTTGGTTTACTGCGAGGTTCTTTGGTCTGAAGACAGTTTTTGTCTCAACGCAGAGTCTAGATGACGAGTCAGATGATGCGAGGCCACAAGTTCCTGCAAGAACAAGAAAAGCTTTGGTCAAAAGAAAACGAAATGCAGAAGCTAATAATTCACCTGAAAGAGTAAGTAATCTCATTAAGCTACAAAGTAAAGGAGTATAAACTGAATCTAATACATCGGTATATGGTAATATATTGCAAAACAGAAGCAAAGAAGAGACATCAACAAGAAAATGCGTACTTTGCAGGATCTACTACCTAATTCCCACAAGGTTTTGCTAAAAGAACCAACTTTTTAATTTATTTCAAATGAGATCAAAAGCTTCCTGCTGGAGATACTACCATTACTTACATTACCCTAAATACTCAATTGTTCATAGGATGACAACGAATCGATGTTGGATGAAGCAATCATTTATATGAAAAACCTAAAACTTCAAGTTCAGGTATAATAAACAAATACTTCCAACACTTCTTCGTATCAAAATCTTTATTCAATCTAAAGTTCCTTTGTTCTAACCTATACAAAATTTTGGATGGTAGATGATGACGATGGGTAACAGATTTGTTACACCATCAATGATGTTGCCTTTGGGGCTGCATTACTCTCAGATGGGTCTAGCAATGGGTATGGGAATGCAAATGGACGCACAACAGTTTCTGCCTGCACATGTTCTAGGAGCTGGCTTGCCTGGGATTAATGATTCAGCAGATATGCTAAGGTTTCTTAGCCATCCTGGACTAATGCCAATGCAAAACTCTGCACCTTTCACTCCAACGGAAGATTGTTCCCCACAATCTGTCCCTCCATCGTGCGCTGCTTTCCCTAACCAAATACCAAACCCCACCTCTTTGTCAAATTTAGATGGTGCATCTCCTTACACAAGAAATCAAGGAACATTAACAGATGAAGGAATCCTCCCTGGTAAAATTCTGGAAACCCGTGAGCAGATGAAATAAACAGTGATGATTGTTACATGCTGTAAGTAGTGAGAAAACTAGAGCCATCTCAAGCACTACAACAACAGAACAACTACGATGGAAGGATCTCCTCAAGGTTCTCTTTATTAGTACCGGCTTTTCCAGTTCATGTAACATATAGATGTAGGAAAGGAGCTATAATAATAACAATAATAATCGCGAGTACTAGTTTCCTTCAGATGACAAAGACTTCATGTTAGAAACATTAATAAATTATCAACCACTATCGGAGTGATCAAAATCATCATTCGACCTTCCTCTCTGTTTATGAAACAAGCTCCTGACTTTATACAATGGAGTGAAGCTATTGTTTCTTGAATCCGAACAAGAGGCATAGCATACAAATACTCAACTCACTTTACCCGTTTCTATTCTATTTATATGATACTGAGTGTATTTCTTCTCTAAGTACAACAGTAAGAGAAGAGATCGCACCACAATGAAGATGCATTGTTCAGCTATGCTGCTTCAAGAATCTTTTTTCCGCTATCTTTCATCCGAGCTGGCTCAGTAGCTTGCTCTTCCAATGTTTGTTTCGTCTTGCCAAGTTTAAGCTCTGAGAACATCTCAGTCAGTGAATCTGCAGTATCTGAAGTCGCTGGTAGGACCTGAGAACTTTCACTTTCAAGGTCCATCTCTAATTCCAGTAATTCTTCTTCGATATTTTCATCATCAGTATCTGGATATGGAGCTGATTCTGCCGCATTAACAGAAAAAATCTAGGTAAACATAAAAGTTGATGAAGTAATCATGTATGTATGTTTAAACGACAAAACACCACTCACCGAGAGCTTTTTCGACTTGCTTCTGTGATTCAATAGTTTCCTCAAGTTCTTCTAAATAGTCATGAACATCATCTGCACTGATCTTGACGTCCTTCATAACCCTAGCTCCAGTTTTGATTGCTTCTGAGACCTGCCAAACACACATCAATATTTCTAAAATCCATAATTGATACTATTACATAGACCCAAACATGATATGTTCGACCTATGGGGTTTCTCAGTGTTTGCAGTACCATTTTCGTAGATTCGGAATCCGCTATAGTGTTCAACACTTCTTCTACTCTGTTCAGAAGTGACGTGCATTTTTCTCTGCTCTCAGTCGCCAACTTCAATTCCCTTGCATGCCTTAGAGCAACTTTCCTGTGTCCAGACTTTAGAGATGCCAGCGCTGATTTCTTTGACCTACAAAAGGGAAAAGAAAAGTCAAAAACACTTGAAGTCAATCTATTTATCCATTTCCGAAAAGGTAAAGCCAAATTATGTATTCCAAGGCTATGATCAATGTACGAGAAAATTAAATCATTTCGATACATTTCAAGAATCAGAAGGTGTTACTTTTCACAACGTTGGTCCATCACTTCAAGTTGATCTTGGAGCTTTTCTGTAGTCCTTAGCAAGTGCAGAATATCACAGTCTAAAGTTGAGATACTGGGAAGTGCTGCTTGTGAAAAGGACACTTTAACGCCCTGCAAAGCACAAGTATGTTTTATTTGGACACTATGCATAAGTCTTAGCATGAACTGAGTCTAACTTTCTAAATTTGTCAAATTGGCCTCTTTCGTTTATTTTCACTGGAATTTTGAGTGCGTTTTTACATGCCTTGCTGACCAGATATACTAACATATTCTCCATCAGACAGCTGTATAAGACCAAAAAATATGAATAAATAACCGACCTCGATCAGTTCTCCCCGATTGATAGAGATTTTATGCGCTTTTCCACAACCTGACAAGTGACTCAAAACAGCAGATGCCTCATTCGAGCCGTTGCACAAATTCCGAAACTTCTTCAGCGTGACAACACAAGTAGAAGTCCAGTGTCCCTCAGATAATATATTCACCACGTCAGCAGCCTTCTCCTAGACATCACATAGACTTATTTCTATCAGCCACATACTTAATACAATCAACTGAGAATTCTTCAGCTATTAGCAAAAGAGCTATACAAAAGAAACCAACCACCAATAAAAGATAGCTTGAAGACTTATATATAGTCATTTCAATATCAATCATCACAAGATACATTCACACATTCTAATCCATTTATCTTAACAAAACCCTGGACCCTTACCAAACCTACATATCATTATTCCAGAGACGCAACTTTTTAAACTTCAAAACAAAAAAATAGACGGTTAAAAGTGAGAACAAACAAGAAGCACCTTCAAGAGTGGGACAAAAACAAGTTTAGTTTCCAGAATCTCTTCCGGCTTCACTGACTGTCGAACCATCAAGTTCCTCACTGTCCTCAATAAACGAGAAATACGACCACTACCCGGATCATCAATATCGCTAATCCGCACAACATCACCTTCACTATGCATCAATAACTGACAACAAAAGGTAGAAAACAATATTAAGAAGACAAATCCTCTTTGGCCACTAAATGCAGAAGAAACTCACCAGAACATGATCAATGCATAAAGGCGTTATTCCTCCTCGATTAAACCACGCCTTCTTCACCTTTAGAAACACGAAGACCAACACAACAATACATAATCAGTTCTTTGTACTAATTTCATCTAGAATCAAAAGCAATTGATCAGACCTTAACAGGATCAATGATGAACAACCCAAACTGACGCGAAACCTTGAGGATCAAATCACGCCAAAACTGAAATTTAAGTTCCCAATCGGATCTCTGCCCACTAAACGCCTTGAATCTAGCCGTCGTCACCACCTCATCGTCCCAATCTGGAACTTCCCTTCGTATAAACTCCTTCACAGCTTCCGAATCCATTTCCTTCGCTCAGATGAAGAAATTAGGGCAAAATCAACAGCGATGAGGAAGAAGAAACTTGTAGACTCGCAACTATACAAGAATTTCGATAGAATCCTGCGAATTTGAAAGTCGATTTCCCGCCGCACTAAGTTTTATACGGAGATCGTCGGAGAGAAAGCCAAGTCCCAAAGATGTTCTCCAATCGACATGCTCTGCCGTTTTAATTATGTGCTTTAGCACTGTATGACGTTTTTTCCACGTTGTAATATTAACTCGACAAATACGCTTTAAGAATTAAGCCCGGCCCATAAGTGGCCCATATGTTAGAGACTAAGCTTTGACTCTCAGAACGAGACTGGTCAATAGATCCAACGGCCAGCGTGGCTCCGGTTCTTATAATATACTCCTCTTATACAAAAAAAAAAAAAAAATACTCCTCTTGTACAAAATCAGTATTAAAGTAGAAAGCGACCAAATTATAAAAATATATTAGAAAAAACTTAGTACTTAAGGATAAGTAAAAGTCTTATGGGCCGGCCACAGGATGACCCAATACAAATTAAACACTTGACACACAATGCCATCTTTTTTTTAAAAACAATTGAAAATGGGAAAGTCAAGTAGTAAAGTATTAGCTGATTATGAAAAAGCTTTAGACAATTTTAAAAAGTGCGATCGGATCCACACAAGAAGTGAAAAACTAAAAAAAGAAAAGTGTAAAAGACACAAACGGGACAAGAAGGACGGTCCATGCCTATAGGCTTTAGACCTATAGTAAATGTGTAATATTAATTACGATAATGATATGTTGTTTTATCTATGCACACCACACAATACACCTGAGTGCTGAGGCAATCCAATTCCATACACATATTCTACATGTTTATCTACACAAAATATATATAGACGTTACGTTGGTAATGGCTTAAAGCCTTAACTGATCCTGGTCTGGGACAGTTATAGCATGTCACGTGATTTTGCATGTTAGAAATTGATTTTGATGTTGATATCCATATCCGTTTTCACTCCAGCTTTATGGTCTATATAGGTTAACGTATGCGTTTTAGCCGCTAGATAATTAGTAACAACCCTTGATTTTATGGATTCGATTTAATTGCGATGAACATGGTTTTGTTATTTTGTATATCTTGAGTCAATGCTAAACTTCAAATAATTTAGCAAATCAGCTCCAATTTTGCTTGTTAAAGCGAAATTATAGGTGTCACTATTTAGTGGGCTAATAATTTTAAAGTTCCTAAACTACGCTCCTGTGTGCGAGGCCAGTGTGGCCTTTTAGAAGGATAATTTCGTAATTTTTTTTAATCTTAAGCCGATCCCGCGTTAACTGATAAAAATATGGTTGATTAGTGATGTAATTAACGGTCGATTAGTTAAGGCTTGATATTGGATTACGACATTTATGCATTTACAAGTTAGAAGGGTGTACATGTGTCACTTTTTAGTGCTTGAGAGCGACAACAAACTTGGAAATTGTAGGAATAATCAATCTCGTATTAAGACGAGCGAAAAAAGGTCACTAACTACGTGATTACCTTGTTTTAACATTTCATTCAATAGAATAACATCTACTTTCCGGTGGATTTTTTTTGTGTAATAAAAAAAACCGGAGTCGTTCAATTTCCGCGTTAAAGTAGGACCCAGGGAAAAAAAGGTAACGTTTCTATTAAAAATAGTAAAATTCGACCAACGTTTTTCAAATAAATTAATTTGTAGTATTTGCGGACTAGTTTCGTAAGAAGAATCAAACAAAGTGAGTTAGATATATTTACACCCCAAAAAAGGATTAAAGTATAAATAAATAATTGCAATTTTCAAACAAAAGAGGGGTAAAATCGTAAATAGCACAAAACCCGAGACTCGGGTATAAATGAAAGTGATCATGCGGAGTTAAAGCACGAGTTGACTCAGTTTCACCATTATAACGATATAGTGGACACTCCAAACGTCAGTCTCTTCACTTTCCTACTTCTTCTGCTTCTCTTTCATGGCGTTCGACGAGAGCTTAGTGATGGTTTCTTCTTTGTCGAGATTGTCTATATGTACGAGCTCTGCTTACGTCAACGAAGACGAAGCAGCCACGAAGAATCATCCAGATTCGTGTGTTTTTACGTCTCTGGAGAATTTCGACGGAGCAGAGGCGGACGGAGAAGTTTCCGATGATGGAGAAGGAAAAGAGAACGTTCGAGAGTCTGATTCCGACAAAGAGACACGTGGGTTTTACTCTCTTCCGGTGACTCCATCTCGTCGGAGAAGAAAACTTACAGTTTCCGGCGAGTTAGATGCGAATGAAAGTAACAGAGACGGCGGTAAGTGTAGTTTACGGAGGCAAAAAAGGTTAGTACGGGAAAAGAAGAAAAAGAGAGTTAACGGAGAAAGTGACGGCGGTGGAAGAGAAGGGTTAACGGTGTTAACGAGAGCGAAAGGTGGAGAGAAGTCATTGAGGATGGGGTTAGAAGAAGTGAAAGCTTGTCGAGATCTCGGGTTCGAATTAGAGGTTCCGGTTCCGGGTCCGGGTCGGATCTCTGTGTCAACAACCGGGTCGAATTTCGATACTCAGACTAGTAGTGGAGGCAACTCACCCATCGCCACTTGGCGCATCTCCAATCCCGGTAAATAAATAATAGTCAAATATACACTTTTATTTATTTGTTTTCGTAATTTATTTTTGAATATAGAAAGAATTTATGTGTTTATAACTGAATTAGGTGATGATCCAAAGGAGGTTAAGGCGAGGCTGAAGGTGTGGGCACAAGCAGTAGCTTTAGCTTCTGCGACACGTCAAGCTTCTTAATTATTTATCTTCTTCTCTGTTTAGGTTTTTCCTTCTCTTTTTGAAGTTATAGATTTAGCGTTTTTGATGTTTTTTCTTTTAGTTTTGCTTTATGGGTTTTGAGAGATATTACGAGTTTAGACTTGGATTTAGTTCCTTTTTTAAGTGTTTGTATATACAATAACAATAGTTGTTTTCATGGATGATGGAATTGTTTTCACTCATTAGTGAGAGCGGTTCAGGTGGAATGGTGGATTAATCATTTTGCGAAATTCTCTCTTGGTTTTAACCGAAGTATAATTATTTCTTATAGCTAACACTTTATGCACAAAATAGAACCTGCACTATGTTACCACGCGTGCGCTTCAATTTGGTACAAAAAGGTGAAAAATAAAGCGATTAACAATTGGAATTTCAAAACACAAAAAAAAAAAAAAAAATCTCAAAAGAAGAGCTCATGATCTGTTTTTGAGATCCGGACGTTTTGTGTTTGTGTCCAATGAATAAAGGAATATGCTCTTTTTCTTTTGTTCTCTTTTTGAAATTCTATTCTATGTAATGACATGGATTTTGTCGCTACCTATACTCGACATTTGAATCAATTGGTTATTAAAAAATGAGGTATGAAAGCATAAGGCTTTTCACTATACCTACTAAACTAAGAATCGGAGAATGAGTTTTGTCAACACTAGAGGGACCAGAGAAGCTCTAAAGAGAGGAAAACAAAACCTTGAAGAAGCTGAGATCTCTAGAGCTGACTGATCAAAACTGCACAAAGAATATATATGAAAAAAATCGATAAAAATAAACATCGAAAGAAAGCTTATTTCAATCGAAAAATGAAGTCATACAAATATAAATTATGATCTGAATCGACAAACAAAATGATTCTCATTTGAGATACACCAATATTACAGATTTGGAAGTTAGGATAAATATGGAAGGATTTTGAAGCAATAATGGTATAAGTTTGAAAGAATCAGAGAAATGGGGTTTAACGATTTACTCACTCGAAAATCAGATTGTGACATGTTGTGTCACACGGGTAAGGACAGTCGATGGCTTTGACATTGTTTGCCCGGTCGAAGTACCAGTCACCTACAGACTCTGCTACTCTCTGACAATAGACAATCATGAACAGAGTTTAACAAACTTGTGATTGCTGCATTAATGACATAGAAACCGCATGAACAGTTTTGGAAGAGTAATGTTACCTTTCCGTTTAGTTGAGGAGAATCTTGAGCAAACCAAGTGTCCTGTCTTTCTGTCTGACAATGGGCGAAGCAAGAGTTTATATAAAGACCGTTCTGGTCAGAGTTTGAAAATGAGTTTACAGCAAGCACCATTTGGGTCCTGAATTCTATTTGGTGTAAGCAAAGAAAAATGACATTGGAAACCATCAACATTGTGCAGACTCAACTTAAAGTAGAGAGAGTGATGATAGCTAAAAAGCTTGAATTTAAAGTTCACCTTCGAAAAATTGGATCTGCGATGAATTACATCGCGAGTGATCTGATTTGCATGCCTTCCAGATGCCACCTGGATCAGCAGTTGGAGGAGCTAAGCTCTCTTGGATCTGACAGAAAAAGTTCATACATATGTTTTCTCAAGAATCAAACACTGTGGAAGGATGAAGCAATGTGCTATGTGGAAGACATCATTATTACCTGCCAAGAGTCATATGCTGTGTTGAGAAGAAACATTGGGGTTTTAATGTCTGAAACCAGGTTCTGTGGAAAGAAGCACTGAGGAAAAGAGAAAGGGCACAAAGGATAATCTCATAAGTTTCTCTCAAGCCTTGTCTACTGGAAACTTTGCTACTGAAACAATGATACTAATAAAGTGAAAGAGATATACCGAAGTAGGATCCAAATGGTTTGTACAAGTACTGGACAAGTCCTTTTGGAGGTTCTATAAATAAACAGGAAATGCATTTAAGAGTTACAGTAAGCTTAAGATAAAGTTAAGTTGTATGCACTTTATTCATGCCCAATTCATCAAATTTTAAATCTGAGATTACCTGCACTGTAACAACACCTTGGAACATATTCCTAAGTGAGTGGCCACCAGAGACATCTACTCTGCAATTTCCATTAGAACATTTCATGTTATAATACATTTCTAAAGAAAAAATACTATTCCCAACAGAAAAGCCAAGTTCAAGAGATTTACGCATCCAGAAACATTCCAGCGTCACTTAAGCATTTTACTTTCGTGGAACTAGGTAATAGTTCCCTGAACTCATCACAGTGCAAAATGGAAGCTAATCCTCCAGCTGAACATCCAGAAAGCAGAGCCTGTGATGAATATTCACTTGCAAATGATTAGATAAGACGATAAACGGAACATGAAGCAGAGCCCAAAATCCAGTAACCTGATAGACTCAATGAAATGCAAAGACCTGGTTTGCTTGCTTCATTCCTAAAGACAGGAATTCTTCCATAGCCACTTGCCAGATTCGTTGTCCTCGATAGAAAAGTTGAGAACTCTAGATACAAGCCATTGTAACAAATTATAAGACATAGCCAGGGTACAATAAGAAGAATTCATTATAATCCTAGGTTTCATAGAACAATATACTTTAGAGTTTAACCAACCTCGTCCTGACTATCGCCAGAGAAAGACGCACCATCACAGTAGCGCAACTTGATCCTGTTCCAATTAAAGAAGTCTGCAAGCCACAAAGACAAATACAGAATCAACACAGTAACGTGCATTTATACAGTTTCTACATAAACACATGCACAAAACTCATGGTGACAAACCAGGATTCTCTTCAGATTTATTGCTCAAAATTCCAGTGAAGGCCAAAGCTTTTTCCATGAATTTAGAGGAACCACGCCGACTTGTTTTGCGATAAACACAGCTCCTATGGTTGTTACACCATCCTCCACCCTAAACCACCCATTGAGTTCAAAACTGATATCTAACTTCCAACTTCTAAGTCAAGCAGAAACTTCCATTGTATACTTAACTAGCAAAAGTTCAAGACTACACAAGCTGTAAAATGCACATACCTCAAGCTGGATAAGCCAACTGTTAGCACCTGATCCAAAACCACGATCTAAATGATAACCAGGTAGTGTCCCATCTAAGCACACTGCACCAAATTAGAGTTGAAAATAAACACAAATCATCATCAATACACTCAAAAACTAATCAAACAAAGAGACTTAGTATTACCAAATCTTTTTTCACCAGCAAAGATTCAAAGAAGTCTACGAAATCGAGCAACAGAACAAAATCAAACACCATTAATTTCAAATTCCAACTAAGAGAGTCAAAATCGAGACCGAATAGTGGACAACAAAGGTCAATGTGCTAGTGGAAACACCTCCTCAAGCGTTTTCTCGAATCTCAAAGAAGAAGAACGAAAGAGAAGGAGAGAGAGAGAGTGTACCAGCTCCTTTAGAGTCAGCTCCTCGAATCAAGGTGAGAGGTACCATTGGAACCGAAGGCGCCATCAATTTATACTCCAGCAAAGATATCGCAGTATCAGTATCTATGGGTTTCCCAAATCCATCGCTAGATCCGCTCCGAATCACCGCCGTGACTGAACATAGCAAGCACACGACCACCGCAACCCACAACAACACGCTTTTCATCTCCTCCGCCCAAGCTCCGGGAGATACAGCAAAGACGAATCGAGCGCGAAAATTTGGATTAAGGATCGATTACGATAGTCTTTTAGTCTTACTCTTTAGTGTTTATCACTTGCATGAAGACAAAAATAAAAATGAATTTGAAAAAGAAAAGAGTAAAGCAGACGAAGCGATGATATGTAATCATTTATAAATTTTATTCCGTCACGAAATAATAAATATACTGAAAATCTAGTTTAATAAAATTTCTGTATTTGCTTCCTATATTAATTTCTCCCTTGGAATTATCTAAAAAATACAATTCTTATCAATTTTAGTATTTTACCACTGATTTGGCATTCTGAGTTTTTATTTCAATGGCATTTACCCCTTTACTAATATTACGATATACATAATAAAAATAACTTTACCCCTTATTAAAAATTACATCTAATTGCCATTACAAAAAAATCAAGAACAAATAAAAAAGTTTCAAGAACAAATTCTATTTCTCACTGAAGGCTAAAACGGGAATTATAATAACTTAACCCATTAATAAACACGCGGGTCATACTAAATCAGTAAATCTGACACCATTAATTTTTGCCCCGCATTATCCTGTACGTTCATCACAGAGAACAAATCTTGAAGCTTGGATCAGAATAATCTGTAAAGTAAAAAAAAATCATGTATATCCATCAAATTTCAATCACTTCACAAAACTTAATTATAATTTCCAGCTTGGAATTGAATAATCTGTATCGACCACGGATTTGAAAAACGATTCCATCACAAATTAATTTTAAGAACAAGTTCATGAAATGCGATATGAAAAAGTAGAAAAATCATATGTAGCTTACCTTTAGTATGAAAAAAAAAATCTAATAAATTAGACCACTTAAAACTTGTTTACTAATATACTATTACATATTTATAATTTAAGAAACATAGATCAAAATAATATATTTGACAAGATTAGTTCATAAATATAATTACGGGTTACTATAATACAACCCTAACATTTCAAATAAAAACTTAACTAAACTTAAAAATAGAAAAATAAGCTTACACGTGTGTTGTGGGTCCCGTTTGATGACGGTTAGAGGTTAGAGGGAGGGACGACACTCACAGTAGTACTATTTTCCGTTAAAACTTTTTGGGAGCTCCAATTTGTTAAAAGCAGAATTATTTTCTCTCAGATTTTTTGTCCTCTCTCCCAGTACAATTGCTCAGAGATCACAAAATCTTTGGAGACCTACAAAACGACGAAGAAAGCCACCGCCGGATCTGACTCATGGCCGTCGTTACTTAACTCTTACTCCCATTTTGTTCATCGTCGTCTCATCTCTCTCTTTCTCTTCACGGTGAGTCTTCTACAACAAATTTCTCTGATGTCTCCGTCATAGTATCGATTGCATATTTATTATTTAAAAGACATACATAAAAAAATTATAATTTGTACGTATAAGTTACTATCAATTCATTTTCAAAACCAAAATTCATAAAATAAAATTTAGCATCATTCGTTTTTTAATAAATCACCATGCAAAAAACGTATGAAACAAAATACTATCTTAACTAAAATAATATTTGACAGACGCAGAAAAAATAAACTTTATATGTCACACGTGTGACAGTGGATCCCAAAGACGTTAGATGACGGTTAGGGAGTGAGACGATATATAAAAAGTTTGAACACTTATCGCCGCTGTTTTTCGTAAAATCATTTGTTCTCAGATTCTCTTCATCGTCGTCATTCATACGGTCAAAAGTATCTCTAATCTTATTCAGATATTCTTTGAGAAACTCAAATTTCTCTGATCTCTCGCTCTTAATATTAGAATTATGTGAAACTTTGGTACAATGCAGCAACTGGTACAATTGTGAAAAGGGTAAAACCTATATAATTGTAATTTTATTAGATAAAACTGATATTTCAGTCTATTAGCTGGACTTATTTTTCCCAAATTTTGATTTAAAATTATCTTGAAAAATACAATTCTTATCAGTTTTATTTACTGATTTGGCTTATGTTTGAGCTTTTTATTTCATTGGCATTTATTAGAGGATATAAATATTCCTTAATTCTCTTTAACATAATGGCAAGTGCAGTGTTTATGGATTAAATGTTCCTTCTCTTTTAGCTTAGTACTCTGCATATTTTTATCGTTCTCAATAATTATGTTTGCTAGATTTTATTCGTTTCCTTTTGTCGATCTGACGTGGAAGTCTCGTTTACAGTGGTTCCTCCCACTTTGGGCCTAATAAATAATCTTCTTTTCGTTGGCTTTGAATTTTTTGAAAATTTGAAACTATTCAAGTAATATTTTTGGTTACTATTTCCATCCATTTATCTTTTATGTCTGAAAATCAAGTTCTTTTTTTTTTTTTTTTCATCAAAAGTACTTAAATACTTATATCATGCAATGTTGAAAAAAAAAAAAAAAACTAAGTAGCTGTGGTAATTTAGTAACTTCAGACAATATTTATGAAGTAGCTGTGGTATTTTAGTAACACGTTCGTTTCGATTCTACCCTTTACTAACGCACATAAGACAACTAAGTAGATGTGGCAATTTAGTAACTTCGTTTGTCAAGTTAGGAAAAGCACAACTTGGGCCACATCATAGCCCAATCCTCATTCTCAGGCTCATTATAAGAACAAACAAAAATTATGTGATTATTGGCGAAAACAAAATTTATGACTTGGACCACACCTACTACATAATAACCAAATATTGAATATTCCTTGCTTTTTTTCGAACAATTCTTGGGTTCACCCCTAGGGGTGAACCCTTGTATTCACCTCCTTTGGTTTTAACCAATGATTATGACATGTCATCTAGCATTTAACTAAAAATTAAAAATTAAAAAATTAATAAAATAAATTAAGAAATAAAAATCATTAACCAAAAGATTATGTTAGTTAACGGATACGCCGTTGGTGTTAGTATTATACGTTAGGGTTTCAATTTATTCTACAGCCATTGATACGTCGTCATCGTTCGAAGAAACGTGAAGACATGGGAAAGACGACGATGACGGTTTTCCTTGGCAATTTTATGATTTCCATCTTCTAATGAAATTTTATGATTTTATGATTTGTTAATAAATGATGTATACACATGACGAGAGAGGGCTTCTTCACTTGGATACGGTGAATTAAAGAATATACTTGTGTGTATCATGCCTTTTTCTTTTATGTATTGGCTAATACGTTACTTCTATGTGACTAGGATGCATCAAATGAAAATTCTGCAGAGTTGCAGGGTGTATCAAATCTCATCATTGGCAACTAGAGTGATGGATTGGAAATCTCGTTGCTTCTTTGTTAGCTAATAAGCTAGGCGTGATACAAGAGCAGTGTGACAGACTAAAAACTAAGCTTTCATCCATATACTACTTCAAACTGATAAGCAATTAGATGAAAACTAATAATTGTAGCTTCATGCAAAATTAAAAACATTTGGAGAATTGTGATCACAGAAGATTGAAAGAGGAGAAAACTTTGACGTTGTAGCAGAAACAATTCCAAGATTATGAAAGTTCTAATACAATAGAAGTGCGTGAATTGGTAATGCTAAGTATCAATGGCCATGGAAAAAAAAATCGAAACCCTAACACCAACGACGTTTTTAAGAAGGTGATTTTTATTTCTTAATTTATTTTATTAATTTTTTTAATTTTTAATTTTTAGTTAAATATTAAATGACATGGCATAATCATTGGTTAAAACCAAAGGAGGTGAATATAAGGGTTCACCCCTAGGGGTGAACCCAAGAATTGTTCCTTTTTTTCTTCTTTCGAATTGTGTATATAAAAAGAACAATTTTAGGGGTAAACCTTTGTATTCACCTCCCATACTCTAATCCAATCATTATGCCAAGTCATCTAATACTTAAATAAAAATTAAATAAACAAATAAAATTAATTAAGAAAATAAATTATTAACATTAAGATTCATTAATTAACGGAGTCGTGGACTTCCAAAACAAATTAACGGAGTCGTCGTCATCTTCTTTCTTTAGGTTTTCGATTTCAGAATTCTGGAACTTGTCTATCTGCAGCATCGAAACTATACGAGGCGTTGTATAATTGATATTCTTTTAGACTCTGGGAAGAAGGTATATTCTATATCTAGAGAACAATACTCTTGTATCTGTAAGAAGAATTTTAATTTGAAAATATAGGGTCACGTGAATGCAATCAATTTGTATAGGATTATCAATTATGTATGCTTCTTGTTTTGGGTTTGTAATTATGAAATATCTGTCTCTCGTCATGTGTCTAGTCTTATGAAATCGGTTTTTTTTTTAAATGATAAAAGTCAACCATATCCCAATCTTTGGTTCATACACCGTTTGTAGAATTAGTTTGTTCTATGTTCTATTTGATCATAATCTCAATGGTTGTAGAACTGATAATTTGTTGTCTAGAACCACCATCAAATAAGATTGAAGATGATTTGTAGTTGTCGAACTGATAATCTAGTTTAGAAAGAAAAAAAAAAAAGATACGAATGTGATTTTGTAAGTTGTGATTCCCGAAGAAAAAAAAAATCAAACAAGCTTTAATACTTGTTGCGAGCATGATTGTGAAAGAAAATATTAATAAATAAAAACATCAGAGCTATGGCTTTACGATGAACCACCAAAACTCTTGTCAAATTAAAATTCTTCTCACAAATACAAGAGTATTGTTCTCTAGATGTAAAATATACTTTTTTCCCAGAGTCTAAAAGAACATCAATTATACAACGCCCGTATGGTTTCGATGTTGCAGATAGACAAGTTCCAGAATTCTTAAATCGAAAATCTAAAGAAAGAAGACGACGACGACGACTCCGTTAATTTGTTTTGGAAGTCCACGACTCCGTTAATTAATGAATCTTAATGTTAATAATTTATTTTCTTAATTATTTTTATTATTGTACCTAAATACTATGATCATGGATTTCATAGCAGATACATCAAATATTTTTTGCATTTTGTTTTTTTTTTTTTTTTTTTTTTTGGTTTAAGGTTTAAGGTTCTATTTGTCTATTTACTGTAACTTGATAAATCGTTGTTCAAACAAAACGACAGCCCGATTATCAATGTTTAGTTTCCGTACCTAAATACTATGATCATGGATTTCAAAACGGATACTCCAATCTTCTTTGCATTTAGGGTTATCAAGTTAGGGATATTTATTGAATTAATTTTGTCAAGAGTCTAATTTTTATAACGACATTAATATAGAATTATGGTAAAACGCTATAACTTTTGATATATATTATTAGTAATCAACAATTAATAGTGTTTTTGAATCACAAACAATTATTAGTGTTTATATCTTGATATATATAACAATGTTCCTTTCGGTAATATAAATTCACATTTTATCAAAAAAAAAAAACGGTGTCTAGTTCATACGTAGCTAATTAATATAATCATTTCATCAATCTCTTCTCCTGTCAAACGACCTTTATCGTTCGTTATTGTAAGTGACTGTGACATCTTTGGAACTTTGTCTTCGGTGTTCACTTGCAGAATCCCATTTGCGTCCACTTCGAAAGTCACCTCCATCTGTGGCACCCCCATGAAAAACTGTTCCTTGCGTCTTTAAAAAACCAAGAACCGAAATGGTTTAGTAGCCAATATTGAATTAGAGAGTTTACCTAGGTGCAGGAAGAAGGCCGGTGAGCTGGAAATTTCCGAGCTCGGGGTTATCTTTCGTCATGCTTATCTCTTCATAGACGTTGATAGTAACAGTAGTTTGCTGATCTTGGTAAGTAGTGAACACCTGAGACTTCTTCGTTGGGATCCGAGGAATAATGTTTGTCATCACGCCTCCGACAGTGTCAATACCGAGGTGCAAAGGCGCAACATCAAGTAGCAAAATATTTGTTTTCAATAAATTTAGGTTTTCTGCAACTCAAATACATGACTAACATGAAAACACTATAGATGGTCTAAACTATTGTCATAAAGAGAGTTAAAAAGAGTCACTTACTTTGCGTTTCTTCTCCACCTTCACCACTTAATACTCCACCTTGGACGGCGGTTGTATAGGCCAAAACCTCATCAGGGTTAGTTCCTTTGTTGGGTTCCTTGCCATCGAAGAAATCCTTTAACATCTACTGAACTTTTGGGATTCGAGTGCTTCCTCCAAATAAGAATCACAAAAGAAACCTTAGATACCCAAATGAAACAAATCCTAATATTTTTGGAGAATTTATTCATGAAATGATGTATGCTTGACTAAAAGGAGAAAAATACCACGTTTACAAACTTTTAAAGAGGGAAACATTGGAACCCTAATCTAAATCCATGATGAAAATATTAATTACCTATCCAACCGGTTCATAAAAACTTAGGGTTTACACACATCCAACCTACTCTTTCGTATTCACCCGATGACATGTTTGCTAGAACATGGCGATGATCAACGAAACAACGAAGTGGACATATCCTTCAAAACAATAAAATTTAATATTAGATAATACCAGATCTAAAATATAACAAATAGACGACAACACAAATCCCACCAAAAGAAGATCGTGGAGATTCATATCCAGGCTGATCCATGGTGTCTTCCAGCACCGGAGGAACACCAGCATACGAACTTGACATCAAAGTGAACAGCTTCAAAATAACCTGGTCACCGGATTTCACATCCTCTAAATTATTTCCAAAACTTTAATTCTTCAAATAAAAATCCATTGGTTATCATATACATCATAAAATCTTCTAATTTCTTACCTAATATACGTACCTTTGCTTCTTAATTATCAATACCTTTTTGAGAAATCCCAAAGATCCTTGACCAAAACAAAAGAGACAATTTTTCTGAAAACCGAATAGGTGAGACAAAAAACCTTAGAAAACAGAAGCAGTTAACATATATAAGAGAAAATCAAAGAAGCTTTTTATTTTATTTTATACCTTTTCCGTTGCTTCCTTCCTCTACAACTTAAAAACAAAATTTAACCCACTTTATTATATAATTAACTCACTTGAACATGGATAATGGAACCGTGATTTGAAGATGAAGAGAGAAAAGGGAGACTTGATAAGAGCTATTGGTGTAGCTATAATCGCTAGATGGTACTCCTCCTGAGGTTAAAAAAAAAAAAAAAGAATTCGACTCACATGTTATATGTGTGAGATATATAGAGATAAGAGACTCATACAGTTTAGGAACGCAACAGTACGAAACAACTTGTTAAAAAACAAACAACAAAGATAGAAAAAATGAATCGAAATAATATCAGTTTTGATTCTACCTACATGGTTCCTTCTTCTTTTCCTATAAGCCTTCTCTGATCAATATATCCTTTTCTTTCTCTTTTGATTCTTTTCACGCTTCCTTCTTCTCCTTGTCTCAATGTCTTCTTCTTCTTCTTCTTCTTCCTCTTTCTGTTTGTCTTCTCCAATATGCTCTTTCTTTTCTTCTTTACTTGCTACGGTGCCAACGTGATCACGTTGGCGATAACATAAGAAGGCTCACAAATTTCAGTGATCTCCAACGTGGCTGTGGTGGTGATGATCTCAACGACGGCGGCTTGGATGCACAATGGATATCAGATTCAGTTTCCCTCTTGAAACTTTATGGCTTAGGGTTTGCTTGAGTTGAGACTCGGCGGTGGCGGTGTCTCCGGCTATGACGATAGGAAGTTAATGTATTTATAGGAGGTTAAATATGTGTTTCTAGGGTTTACGATTTAACATATAGTCGGTGTAGTTGTATATTTTGTTCGGCCCATATTGGTTAAACGGATTACACAATGTGGCCTTTTATTTAAACGAAAATCATTTAATATAATTAGATTAAAAACGGAAAAAACATTTAAAAATATTAAATTAGGCAATAAAAGGTATTTAAGTAATCACGTAAAATCAAGAGCTCAACAAGAGCCGTGAGTCTGACACGTCAGCAAAAACACTTCTCAAATATTGTTATTTATAGATTTTAGACTATTCAATATATTTGCCTTTTTTCCGGGCAGTATATTGTATCTCTTATTTTTCGAAAAGTATATAAATTAGAGTATCGATAATTTGTGGGATATATGTAAATTTTGTTGCGAATATGTAAACATTATCGTATAAAAGTAAAAATGCTATAATTTAATAAAATAACTAATTAATATTCGAATTTAATAAAGGGTATTTAAGTAATCACACAAAAGCAAGAGCTCAACAAGAGCTGTGAGTCCGACACATCAGCAAAAACACTTCTCAAATATTATTATATATAGATATGGGATTACGACACCGATTTGAATAATTTTGGAATGTTGGATGCTTCTGTTTGTTTTATGCTTTGTTGGAATATTACCCGATCCGTTGACGTATTATTACAGATATCTCTTGAAATCTGCTCATAACTTGCATGTGCAACGTTGGATATATAATTTATACATGAATCAAATTTTATCAAGAAATTTATTCATTTGTTCAGCCAGAAATAATCAGTATATATATCTGCATGCATGTTGGAGTTTTCTAATATTTTTCTTCAAAAACTTTATATGGCTAATTTTTTTAAAACCTTCACATAATACATGCAAATGTATTTGGTAACGCTCAATATTCCATTGCAAATCTGTTTTTAGAAAAATGAAATTAACATTTAACCTAAAATATGTATTGGACGGAACGAAACAAATAAAATTTGATATCAGAGATTTATATAATATATTATATTAAGGAGCTGATATTTCAATAGAAAATAGAATTAGTTGGTAAAATGGATTGTTTTAACATTTAAGCAAAAATGTGTATTGGACGAACCCGACTCTAAGCCCAAACAAATAAAATTTGATATTAGAGATTCGCAATAAATAACATATCAAAGAGTTAAAATGGATTGTTTTAACATTTAACCCAAAATATTGGGCAAGGCCGGCTCTGAGCTCAAACAAATAAAATTTGATATCAGAGATTCACAATATATATCATATCGAGGAGTTAATAGTTCACACAGAGATGAAAGAATAACTAGTAAAGTGAATTGTTTTAACATTTAACCCAATATATGTATTGGACAAGGCCGGCTCTCGGCCCAAACAAATCAAATTTGATATCAAAGATCCACAATATCATATGGAGGAACTAATATTTCACACAGATAAGGTAGAATAGCTTGTTAAATGGATTGTTTCTTCCGATACAGATCGGTGGTTTGATTCTCAGAATATCCAGAACCGACTCTAAAACTAGATATTAAATTATATAATATTTATACATGGTAATAAACTTAATTATACTATAAATATAGTAAAGAAAATTATTCCCCATTAGTTACAGTTAAGAAGTTACTATATTTATCGATCGTGTCAACAAACATGACAAATAAAGAATGTTACACAACATTATTACAAAAACATTCAACTACCTTTTCTTTGAGCACATAACGGCTTCGTTCTCTAACCGAACAGTGTTTCGTATATAACAAGAAAAAAAGAGATAAACCTAAAAGTAATTTTAAAAAACGAGAAAATGGAAAACAAGTTGTCTCTTGGACTCCTATGTCTATGCCTTGTGATACAATTCACCAGCGGCGAGGAGGACAACCCTCTGATAAACCATTATGCTGATTACGAAACGATTCATCCCAGCGAATACTACAGTTCCGATTTCGAACTCAAAGACGGAACCAATGTGATCTTCGAAGCCATCAATGAATTGAAAGGGATCAAGAAACCAAAAGCAGGTTTCATGTGCAACTATGGCCAAAAACAATGGACAAGGTCTCTTCCGGGAGACGTTTTCTACGCCAAGTTCTTCTTTTACCGGGTTAATCCACACGCAAAGGTCGTTCAACATTGCCATTTCCGATCGAATTTGGGCTATGTTGACGCATATATCAAGATAACCCCAACGCTCGGACGATCATGTCCCGGTTATAGATGCATTTTAGCAATTAGACGTGAAGGCCTCTTGATGAAAGACACTAACGAACTCTTTCCTTGGACACCTTGGCCTCGCCGCCACATTCAACCTAAGTTGCCTAAGATCACCAATTGATTCCTCTGAATATTGTATATTATGGGAGGGTGTATACATATCTCTTCTTCCTTTTTTTGTGTGATATACAATACATACATTGTTTAGTTCAGAAAACATTAATCAAAATTTAACAATTGCAAATGAAATGATTTTTGCCCTAACAAAAGAAAAATATTCCAACAGTAGTAACAATTAGGGGAACAGAAAAATCTCTGCCAATCGCAGTTTCTTTTTAAAAAGCTTATAAATTTGAGGTATGAATTCAAACTTAACCTAAAATTTTAACAAAAAAAATGAATTAATACTTAATTTACTTCAACAACCTTTTTATTGTCCAAGATCTTCGTCGGTGAGCCGCTGCTCGTCTATGTCCCCCTCCTTCGCTGCCTCCTCGTTCAGCTCTAAGTGTCCTTTTAACAAAGTAGAACCACTCCTTTTTGAACTGATCAGTGTTGACGTGCGGAAGAAGCCACGGCGCGTCTTCATAAAGCTTGATGTCTGATATGAAAATGCTTTTGCCTATATATCAAGCTTCAAGATTCCAAGGGATCAAGATCACATGAAGGAATATGCCGATAAGCTCGAAAATATTCTGGAAGCTTGATATCAAGCAAAAGCAATTTCACAAATCCAATCTACTTATCCTGTCCTCAACATACTTACTGCTTAGGTCTTAGTAACATCCCGAGATCGCTTAACAAAGGCAAATATATAAGGGTTTTTTTTTTTTTTTCTTATAAAGGAATCGAATTATGTTGAGTATATACACTAGTTATTCATTCTATGATTTTGTCTAATAATTTAGTTTTGAGTTCTCTTTATCTCCTCGAAATGTATCATTTGAAACAACAACATAAACATCATCACATTACTCTTACAGCAACATATATCGTTAACTTTTATCACTGTCACAATGACATATCATCAAAATTCTACTTTTTTTTCTTTTGCTTTTGCTTTCTTATAATAACTTTTTTTTGTAACAACTTAAAACAACTAATTTCCTAACTAATTGTGCACCTCACTTGCTTCCCTCTATCTTTCATTTTAACAACCACAAAAAAAAAATTAAAAAAAAAACAAAAAATAACGTATTAATTAATAACGAGTTAAACCTTTATAAATCATTTATCATTAAAAAAAAAAACAGTTCAACACTAAGTAGTCCGTTAGTGAGTACATATAATAAATAAAGGAGATCCGTTTCATGTTTAGCACTAGTGAAATAACCCAAAAACTGAAATTTATATATTGAAGATATAAAAGATAATCAAATAAAGAACTGAGACATAACTCAAAAGATGATGATGATGAATCCCAAAACCATAGTTACAAATCTCCTCCTCCTAATCCTGTTGCAAATCTCCAACTTCTCCACCATTGTCTTATCTTTTGAAGCGAGATATAAAAAAGATTATAAATCAGAGTATACCGTAGATCCAGACACCGTCACACATATCGTTGTCTCCAATGAATTGTATGGTCTAAAGAAAGGAAACGCTGGCTTCGTATGCACTCATGGTCCAAAGGTTTGGCGGAAGAGCAAGCCAGGACAACGGTACAGTTTGCTTCGGTTCAAGCACAACGGTAGGGTCAGGTACATGTCCACAAATTGCCATATCCGGTCGAACCGCGGGTTTGTGAATTTTCATATCTTTATGCAGCCAGACTTATCCGCTCATTGTTTCCCTAGTTATATTTGTAAGTACTCAATTAGAAAAGATGGAGTTTATTACAAGCATGAGAATAAGTTCTTTCCTTGGCGGCAGTTTCCACGCTCTGCCAAAGGACGCAGTAGTTCCAAGGTTTCATTGAGAAACATTTTGAAGAACTAACTTTTATTTTTTAAGAAATTGTACGGACTGTATCGCTACTATATAAATCTAAGTATTTTGATTTGATTTAATGATAGGCTACATCGGTGCACATATTTCTTGAGCGCTTATTTTTTTTTGTGACATCTCTTAAACTTTTAAATACTAGTTTATGGTCCATATAATGAAACATAATGGTTTGTATTAGTGTTATCAAATTAAACCTACATTATGCATATACATCGTTAACAAAACAAACACATAAACTAGATCCATTCAAAACAGCATCAATCAATATATAAAGCCATAAAGGTGATAATAATAGACCACTAATCACTCAAACTAGATATTTTTGTAGTAAATAAAATACTCTAAAGTTTTAAAAAATCAAACAATAGGAATCAAATTTGAAGAATCACGACAAAAAGGTTAATTAACTTTTAAAAATAATTTAGAAAATTGATCAACAATGGGAACAAGTAATTGAAACAACCATATGATTTTTCTGAGTCAAATTACAAAATCTAATTTGTAATAAAATAATGGCCGATGACTTCAACTTTAAGAAAAAAAAAACTGATAAACAAAAGTACTACAATTGGCCAATGACTTCAACCTAAAAAAAAAACACAGACACGCACAAGTATGAAAATTCGAAAGAACACACTTGATAGAGTTTAATAGTTTATAATGTCCATTAATGCTGAAAATCCTATATCGGTCTAATTAGTTTTTACTATTGGAGTCAAATTAACTTATTCACCTCAAAATTACAGGTTAAAAAATCGAGTAAAAATGATCGAATAAAGCTTTTTCGGCCTTTAATTCAACGAATACATTTCTATAAGGAAACTCAAGGGACATCTACTCTTTTAAGAACTCCGATCAAAAGCGTCTTTCGCATAAGCTACATCATTTTCACACTTTTTGATTTCGAAAGATGTTGCATTGCTTGGCGTCAATATATCAGCTCATATATCTTTCATTATCTTAGGATTGCTAGATCATACCATAGTCACATATAAAACACATGTTCAATGATAAAAACCGGTAACACTTTGTCTTTTGTAACTAGCATGGCCCACCGAACAATGTAATTAAGTCTCTGTCATTCTTAGTAAAATTACTCCCCTCTGTTTTTTTTAATTGATCATTTAATTTTTGTTTATTTTTAAACTAA